AATATTTTTAATTTTATTATTAATTTTTAAGTTTGTGGTTTCTATAACACAAATTTCTTTCTTTTTTTTTAGACACACCACCAATTTGGAGGCTTCCTGAAATATTTCAGCCCATGCACAGCTGACATTGGCCATGAAATAAACTGGTTTTGCGCACACACACGCACTCCTCCAGTTCCAGTTGATTTCTGCCCGAACGGGAAATGCAGAAAAGTGGAAAATTGGTGAAAACATATGAAGAATGGTTGCTGTAAACAAACATGTTACAGCACAAGTTGCAAATAAACACGGCATTTTGACTAAATTTATGGTTGGCTTATAAAAGCCACGCAGCTAAAGACTTGCGCTGTTAAATAAGCCATGAAGGCCGTCATGAGCGTTATTAAGCGATTGTCAGCGAAGAAAGTGCAGTGATATAAAGACGCTAAGAGCATACATATGTATACTATATATAAACCAGAAAAATATATATTACAAAAACTACAATTGTTAGTGGATAAACCGAAATGTAAGCCAAGACTTTTCTATGTGTAATAAAGGCAAAATTAATTCGAAAATAATTTACAAAAAAAGTAAACACGTTAATTTCGGTCGCAATATCCGTATAATAAATTAAATTTGAGAGGTCTATAGATAGTGTTTCAATTTGAATTAGTTCGGTTCGGTTCGGTTCGGTTTTTGGTATAAAAAAGTTTTCCATACAAACACTTGAGCTTGATGGCGCCTATATCGGTCCGATTGCTTCCAAACGAACAGCTTTTTGGAGTGCCAAGCACGTTAGCAAAGTTTCAGATCGATATCTCAAAAACTGAGAGACTAGTGGCATGTTCGAGTAAGCAACTACTGACAGGCACTGCACTGTATTTCAGGTTGTTGAGTTTTGCGATAAAATAATTGAAACTAGTTGAAGGCGTGTCATCTCTTTTTCGAAACCCGAAGGTCGTACAGCTAGAAAACGTACTTGACAAGCACTCAGCAGCTGTAATAGACCATATCCAGCTCATTTTGGGTTATAACAGACATCAGAAGCATTTCTCACGAAGAAGCGCTATAGTTTTGAAGTCCTTTCTCTGCTGCTACATGTAGTAAATAGTCAACCGCAGTTAAATGAATGCTAACAGCGCAACTATTAAGCCCCCAACGATGCTTGGAAAACTTGCTTGTTGCTCTCACATGTATTTATAAGACTGCATTGACACATTTTATAACTATTTCAATTAATTCTAAATAAATTGTATAGAAGTAACCACTCACTTTCTCAATTAGATGCTGCGTGACGTGCTCACCTTGCATAGATCCACTTGGATCGCACAAAAAAGGCAGACACTACTATTCACGCTCTTAATGTTCTACATCATCACACTGTCAGATGCGCATCCTGTCTCCATACCGGAAATAAATGGCAAATCCGGTAAAAATATTGCCGTTTCATCTTCAAATCCCACATTGCTGATCAAGCCGAGCCCACAGGACGCCCAATTGAACTCGTTAAATGCCTATGCCACCAACTACGGACACTTTGCTGCACAATTCTCTAACAATGCCGCGCAAGGTGGCAACACTAACGTGCACACAGATGGCAGCACGACCGGTAACACAAATACCAACCATTTTAAGGCATCTTTCAAATTGCCCGAGGTGGAGAATAATTTTACACCAATCCAAACATATAATAACGGTAATAGCATGCCGCATGCGGCGCCTTTAACCGCAATTGCCGCGACGCCGAATGTCAACAGCATTGCCAACAATAACGCACCACAAGCCACACCCGTTATAATGCAATACCTGCCACATGTAATGCCGGAAACAGGCGTACAATATCTGCAATTGATACCGACGCGTCCGCTTATTGTGCCCATAAGTCCGTACTTAAACGGCAATGCGCCGCCTGCGGCAGCACAAAATGCCGCCAATGCTGCAGCGCATGCGCTACACCCACCATTAGCGGCCGCCATCAATGCTGCACCAATGGACTATGGCGTCCGTTCACCGCCAATATTGGCCGCCGAGCCCATTAATAGTCAACAGCATGTTGCCGCGACTGCCGCTTTGATAGATATGTCGAATGCAGCGCCGCCGCCGCCGCCATACGGTATACATACATACGCCAATGCCTTACAGCCGTATCGCAGCAGCTATCGTATAAATCGTGAAGCGAAGGGTAAGAATTTTCCCAGCACATTGTCACTCAATATGAACGAATACATACCGGGCCCCAATGAGACACTGCGACCGCTATATATGCGCGGCAGACCGTGAATTTGTTGGATGTTGAATAACGATTATTTTGTTGAAAAAAATAAGGAATATATACACACATACATATGTACTTTGGTTAGTAATAAAAAAAATTTTGTAAATATATATACATATTACAGCGTTTCTGAATACAGTGGGGTTTAGGTTTTAAGCTCTCTGCGTTATATGACGCTTACTTTTCCGATAGCTCTCAGACCGAACTGACAGCTTACACATATTATATTTCTTGACAACCGACGGCTCAAAACGTCGAAGGGACACTACTCGAACTCAGGCACACCGAGCGCGGTCAATCAAATAATTTAGTGTAGATCAAGCTTTGAAATCGGATAAACTGTTAGTTTTAGTGTTAGAAATGACTGAGATCTCCGAGAAAGTTCTTTAGCAATTCCCACAACAGCCGGTTCTACGTATGGGAATTGATCCGGATATTAACCGGCCAAGGACTGTTATTTCGGTGATTTAATCAGGTTTAGATCCGTAAGTATTAGTTTAAGAGGGTTCTTTTGATTGGATTCAGATAACTTGAAAAAGTGATATCGCACCTAAATTGGTCACTTTCAGAATTTCTGTCGATATTTTGCTTCTTGCGTTTTCGGCTCTATCGAAGCCAAAATCTAAAATGCGGTGTTCCGTTGTTGAAGTTCTGTAAAATTAGATGTCAGTAGTTTGTAAAATTATGAATATAAATATATATATATGGGTGATATATGGTTAACGCGCTATTTGCATACCTCAGTCTAAGTGTGTAAATTGCAATATACCCAAAAGTTGTGATAAAATGCCAATTCTAATATTTTTCAGCAGTGGCAGCTCTCTCTCTCTCTCTCTCTCTCTCTCTCTCTCTCTCTCTCGAACTAAAGAGTTTCATTTCACTTTTTCTTAGCTTAGCCTAAGTCATTCTAAACTCTTTAAGTCTCTCAACACAAAGATAGAGACAAGAGTAATATTATTATTACGAAAACGCAAAGAGATCGCTTCTCTAAGTTATCGCTGTACTTAGTAGCTCGGTTGTAGAAAAATGTTTTAGCTTCAGTATTGCGCGAATAGCAAAGTCATAGATTTATTTATCATAAAAACATCAATACAAACCAACACTCAACATCTCGAAATAGCACAATGCTTCGACATACAACTAAATATCAACTGCATTAACAACAAAGCATTGTTAACCACGCCTTAAGCTCCCGAACGAAACGAACCTCACATACGAATCACAAACGAGAAATCGCTGAGCAGACTTTATGCGAGCGCAACAATTCACCAATCACAAAGCAGTTTGCCTACAGTACGCTGCAGCATGTTCAGCAGTAAGTGGACAATCATTTTTATGTTTTAAAATTTCAATTAATATTTTTTTTAAGAATTTCATAATTGATAAACAATTTCTAATTGCATTCTACTGCTAGATAGATATTTAAATGAACCATAGGCATATGGAAAAGATTTTTAGAGTGAACAAAGGCATTAACTACTCGAGCGAAATTTCAAATTTTGAGAATTTTGTTAATTGTTACCAACTTAAGTTGGTCGGCAATTATTGATTGAGGAGTAAGGTAAAGTAAAGGCTAGCTTTTCAGTTATTCAGCGCACAACTAGATATGTTAAACATCTTAAGAGTCTAAGAATCAAAACAATTAAAAAGAAATTACCATTCTTCTAAAAAATCAGTCACCTTAAGTCTGTTTATTCTAGTGACAAGGAACGTCAAATTACCGTACTAACAATTTTTAATGTAGCCAGATTGGAAAAAACCAAAATTTTTGAGCATTTTATTTAAGATACCCAACACTTATTAAGATTAAAAATTGTTACATATTGGATAATTATTTCATTCTTCTGTTTTATGATTTCATAGTAAATTTAAAAACGGACTTTTGTACTTTCAATACTTAACGAAGGGATTTGAGCTTGTTAGCTTTCATGTAAGGTTTTTTCATAATCATTTTCAATTGAAAATTAATACTATGATGCATTACAATATAAAAAATATTATCAAATACATTAAACTTTGCGTTTTCTTACAATTTCAAGGCGGCCGCAACAAATCCCTGCGTCCACATATCTTTTTGTTAGATTTTCAATCTGGCAGTACCAGTCGTTCCAATTGCCAAACGTCAAAACCAACGCAATGCAGGCAACTGTCAAAGTGGAGTAGGTGAGTCAGAGAATGTATAAGAAAAGTATCTCTAAGTTCTCTGGGTGAGTTGCTCTCTCATGTCCAATGACAGGAGCAACTCTTTATTTCTGTTGGCGTGATTCGCTTAGAAAATAATTTATCTTTGGCGAATAAGTTCAGTTTACTTTAGCTATTTATTCCGGTTTATTTAGTTGTATTGTGACAATACGTCACATATTGATTATTGTTTCTGCAGAATATTGTAATAACAGGTGATGCTTACATCAAATTTACGCGTTTCTGTTAAAGTTAAATAAAAAGGTTTCTTTAGGTGCATACTATGAATTATATGCGGATCTATCAAGCTGCAGCCTTTGAGATAACAACAACAACTTTTCAATATTTATATTATTGTTTACAAAACTTTCGCCGGTGAAGTGTTATTTGTTGTTAATTCTTTTCAATTTGTTGTTAGGGCAATTGAAAGAATAAAACGTCAATCCACGTACATTGTGCTGCCACAGAGTGTCAATTGAGTTAACGATTGTGAAAAAGAAAAAAAATCTAAAAAACCTATAATGCAAAACAACGTATCATGAAAAAAATCGAAATTGAGTTTTTTAACGTTTCACTACATCATATTACATTGATCTATTATATCGTTTTTCTTCCGCATGTAAATTTATGAAAAGTGATGTTACGTTATTTTGCATTTCGAAGATATGTGTTAAAAGAATATATACTAGAGCAGGTCGATTGTTTTCTGTAAAATGTTCTACAGATCATTCGGAACAACTTTGCCCTACAAACTATGGGTCTAAAGCCGGTTCAAGCCATATATTTTAAAGGCGAAAGTTTTAGGGATCATAAAAATTGTCTGAGATTTAGAAAAGCATCCCCCGATTTCGGACTTAAAAAGTGTATGTTACCGCTGACTCATGGTATATGAGATATTTGATTAAAATTCAAAAATGCAGCTATTCGGTTCTACGTATTTGTTTTGTATTAAATAATGATATCATTGAGATATCTGAATTCAATAACCAGTAAATCTACACTATATAACTAGAAAGCAAAGAGAGAGTTGAATTTAATTATTTAAAATATTTTCTTTAATATGTTTTTTTTTTATTACGAAAGGATAGTTCATTAACTAGTAATGGCCACAAAACGTACGAAAAGACCTGCTCTTCAGACCAAATACAGTGAGCAGAACCGCTTCATGGAAAAATTAATGGCGAAAATATTTAGCTTCTACGACGAAAAGTCTCTAACCGATGTCACATTTAAAGTAGCAAACGCAACGGCTCTGTAAGTATTGCTTTGTCCTCAGTTTACATAAAATGATTTAGATTAATATTTTAAATTTTTGGATTACACAGTGTACCCGCGCATCGTTTGATACTCGCAGCAGCGAGTCCTTACTTCGAGAACCTTTTCAAAGGCAATAAAGGCAATAATCCTATCATCGAGATAAATGATGTAGATAGCGATATTTTTGAGTGCCTAATAACCTTTTGCTACACCGGTCAGGCGCTGATTACCGCTAACAATGTCGGTGCTATGGTAAAGGCGGCAATCGTTTTGCAATTGGACGATGCCTTGACCAGTTGTGTGGACTACATTATGACACAAAGCGATGAATACACATTACATGATGCTTATACGCTAGAGCGTGAAATTCAAAGTGAGCTTCTTAAGCAGAAATTCATCGAATACGAAATACAGAATTTTATGGAGGTGAGTCTAAATATACACGTAGTGTCTCACAATAGCGGTATTTGTATAATTGAAAATTTGTTTCTGATAATACTAGATCAGCCAAACCGACGAGTTTCTGAATTTTAATGTTGAAAGATTGAAATATATTCTGGAATCTGACAATTTGAATATAACTTATGAGGAAGATGCCTACGATGCCATAAATCGCTGGTTCAATTACGATATTTCTGCACGTCAAGAACAACTACCACTTTTATTAGCTTGTCTCCGGCTTCCGCAATTCAGTATCGATTTTCTATTGACACACATAGAGCCATTACCTGCTGGTGATCCACTGGCCTTCAAGGCGTTATCCGAGAATAGAACACCTGCAGCACGGACTCCGTTCCCACGACGATCGGGTCTACGCAAAGTACTGTCAACTAGGCGGAACTTTGCTGCTACAACAAACGCAACAACACGGACAAAGAAATACAAACCAAAACCACGTCAGCTCAGCGCTGGAAATTGTGTGAAAACATTTCTGGCATTTTGCTCAGGGGTAAGCGCATACTGTGGCTTATATTCAAATTTTAAAATCTTCATTTAGTGTACGTCCAATATTTTTGGAATAGACGAATCCGAAGCTGCTGCAATATAACAAAGTTGAGGACAATTGGCAGGAATATGCGAGCATAAAATGCGACCACATTTGTTATAGAACTATTTTAAAGGATGATAATATATTATTTATTGGCGGTAATAAAAGTGGTGTCACATCCAACACCGTCCGCAGCTGGAATATACCGAAAAAGACATGGCAACATTTGAATTTGCCTGCCATGAAACAAGCAAGAAGCTCACACTGCATTGTCGAATTAGATGGTAAGATCTACGCGATTGGTGGTTTTGGGGATAATAAAATTCTGCAGTCGGTAGAGAGGTAAATACGTAAAAATCTGTAACGAATTAATTAACGATGATGATTTTGAGCTTTAACAATTAAGCTTAAAGCAAAAGCACTATAGGCCAGTGTAGCTGATTGACAAAACAAAGTGCTGCTACCTTTCGGGAAACGGAAATTGTGTAATGTGCTATGCGCTCATTGCCACTAAGACCGCTAGTCCAAAAACTTGATAAAGTGATATCAACAGGATAGAGAGCATGCGCAGCTGATCATGAAATATTATAGCATTGTCTTTTTCAAAGGAATGCTATTAACTTTAAGTATAGTCCACTGTCTGGCATTCTAAGTTTACAATAGACAATTTCATCATCGATGCTGATTTAAGCGGCAAACGTAATGCCTCACATATCAATTTTAATATTTGCATTCTGTTTTTGTTTATTTCCAGATATACGGCATGCGATGGGTGGGAGTACGTGCACAATCTGATTGTTGGACGAGAAGGTGCCGGAGCAGTGACTTTTGGTGGTAAAATTTATATAATGGGCGGTTATAGTGACGGTGAAGAATTAAAATCCGTCGAGAGCTACAATTCGGATTCAAATACTTGGACTCCTTGCGCGGATACGATACTACATCACTCTTTACCTGGTGTAAGTTAGATAAAAAATATAAGTTGGGCATTGTCATATTAATATATAAAATAGATAAGAATCCCATTTTAAAGCACTTTAGGTCACTTTTTAGGCGTTACTACCTAGCTGGAACGCACCCATACTATCGCGGTTAAGGACTATTTTCATCAAAAACATTTATTAAGTCTACGAACAAAATTCGAAGAGTAGTTAAAGCTGTATAACTGCTAAAAGAGCTTTTTTAAGCTAAACAATTTGTAAGAACTTAACACCAGAGTGTCTCTAGAGTTTTTAAAATCTGTAAAAGTAGTTCAATTTTAATAGAAATTATCAAAAAATTGTCTGAACAAAAAAAAAAATAATAATAATCACTGATTTATCGAGCTCTCTTAGTTCAACAAAATAATATTAAATAAAGTATTTCTTGCTACTTTTTATATTACAGGTAGCTGCACATAATGGTCACATTTATGTTTTAAGCAGTATCGGTATTGAACGATACGATCCTCAGCAAGACACATGGACACAGGTACATATATTAAGTTGATTTATGCCAATCGCTTGATCTAAAAAAAAAAAATATTCTTGAAAACATTTCGCAGATTTGCTCTTTGGAATTTGGCCGTGGTCTTATAGCTTGCGCATCGCTAGACAATAAACTGTGGGCTATTGGTGGCACCTCCCAATCAGGCGAAAAGTTAGAGTTCAATGACTGTTGGGTGGAAAGGTGCTCACTACCCACAAATGACGTTTATAACTGTTTTGTTGTGCCTGAATCCTTGCTGTCGTCGAAATGATTCAATAATAATATAATTATTGTTCCTTTTTCAATTTAAAACTTCGTTTAAAATAAATACTTTTATAAAAATAATACTATTGTCATACAAAAATAATTATTTTGAAAGCAGGGTATGGTCCTAAACGTACTTGAATTGGAAGCTAGGAATCCGTCTAAATTTCTATGCATCCATAAGTTTGACAACTACTGGTTTAATAAATATGTATATGCTTAGATATGTATGTATATTTGTACTAGATGTTTAATAGAACTTTTATTAAATGCTTTTCGATTGTACGAAAATTATGTAAGAGAGCCAGAGAGGAACGGCACTCTTAAGAGCGTGGCTACCAACAGAGTTGGACACAAAAATAATGAGTGCTTTTATAAATTTCACAGTTGTGATAATAATAAATAGAAAGGCTAAAATATGAAATGAAAAGTAATCGAAATAATTTTAAATTTTTATGTAGAATTGAACGCAGTAACTTAGAACAGCACAAAAAAGATTAAACAAGGCCCAGAGCTCAGCGAAACACTGAAGATTCACTATTTGGTTACAAATAAATAAAGAGAAAGTAAATCATGTTTCCTATTACAATAATTTCCTTTTTCACTTCACTTTCTACACTTCGGTTTTTGAGATATCGATCTGAAAGTTGCAACAAAAAGCTGCTCATTTGTTGGAGCTAGTGTTATTGGACAACTGTAGCAAATAGCTGCCCTGGAAACTAAACCAACAAAATCCAGCCCTTGTATGTTTTGTATTTGACTAGATATCTTCACCGAATTCAGCATGATAACTTCGCAATTTCAATTCAAGGCAGTTGAGTAATGTTTAGCCCACCACTGTAGTTTGCATATGTGTTTTGTTTACTTATCTATTGGCGAGAACGGCGAATGATTGCAGAGAAAATCTGCAAGCAATCACACAGACGGAAATGTTTGTATAAAATGGTAAGTTGCTGTCTTGGAAGTTCAGAGAGTTAAGAAGCGTCTGCGCGGCTTGGCTTAACGTAGAATTATAATTCGTATTCAGCTGACTAAAAAGTAGTGCGAAAGTAATAAAGTAAAACGGTTTTTGACAAGCGAGCAGAATATACATATACATACATATGTTTATTTGTGTACAGTTATACGTCAAAGTTACAAGAGTCTTCAAAATTCAAAAACAATAATTATGAAGGTGTTTATAATTGAAAAATAAAAAAGAAATAACGGAGAATATTGAGAATTTCATAAATTTGATTTTTTAATATGAAAAAAAATATATAATAATTGTGCCAATAAATAGACAATATGCCAATGTGCATAGGGGTGGGTCAAAAAAACGAATGTTTTTTTTTTCGGTTGGTAGAACGAAAAAATGGTTGGTAGACAGCTTTCCATTCCATTTCCAAATTTAAAAAAATTT